ATAATATAATTGTATGTAGTTGATCACTTCAGCTCTTTGCCTCTCTATATACTATTTTTCTAGTAGTTGTGACTCGAAATTAAGCTACTTTTCTTGACTATTTTTCTCTGGCTCCATGCTTCTACAAAATTTGCAGCTAGGATTGATTCCTTAGCTTTTTTCTTTGGTGTATAAAGTCAGACTAATACAGCCACTCTTAACGATCTCAGGATCAAATTATACAAAGCTTTGATTTACTTTGCGAATTATTATAACTTGAGAGCCAGATTTCGAATAACTTAGAAAAATTGGTAATTAACAAACGAAGATTGTTGATAATACAGAGCGGAATGCTATATACGAGATTTAGAAAAAAATTTGGTAAAAGTCACGCAATATAGATCTATACATAAATTTATTTATTTATTTATAAAGATAAAGTTAAAAAACATATATATGTATTTATATCCATAAACCGAATGGCTCGATTTGAATATTATATATCTGATGCAGATCAGTAGGTTTTAAATTACCAGTAAATCTTGACTTTCACAATTTATATAACTAAAACAGTTATATATATTTATTTACATTTATATATTGTTGGGATTTATTCTTATGGGAAGGTGAAACACTGTCATCTCTGGTGATATGATGAAACAGCTATCGAAAGGACTAGATCATCTGAAAAAATGGGGTCAGAAATATCTAATTTTCAAAGGTAACAAGCAAGGTTACGTCTCTGGAACCTTCATATCGGATAAATTCATGCTTTCAGTTGGGGTTTCTGAAAAAGGTATGGAGGTGTTGAACTATTTTTTATGCAAATGGCTTGTTCCTTCAATAAACGTAATTAAGTGTTCATGCATATATATGTAATATGTTGTGGAAAATACTTATTGCCCTATCTAAAAGCAACTGATACTTAAATATATACTTATTTAATTTTAATATATAGCAACATAACAAGTTTTTTATAAACTTTAGTCATACTAGGTCGTTTATGCTGACGAATAACTGATAGCAAAAAAGAGGATTTACAGTAAAAAGTCCCTACCGGTCCTTCAGCACTTTAAATGACCTGAGGTGGTTACAGTTTTGTTGAGGCATGATTTTCCATTTCAACAGAAAAGCAAGTTGTGTGGAATTCGTGAAATAGTCTCACCTGAAACCGAAGGAGTACTGCCGCTGATTTAATATTGCTGGATTGTGCAACTTTTGCTAAGCTTTCGTTTGTCATTGGACAGACATCATCATTGCTAAAAGCCATACTTTACGAAAAACAAGCCCCAAATACAATAAACCAAGCAAATAGGGGTGGCCCAATGCAATCACACTCACTTTTATACCTAAATTTGTGATCACAATGAGGCTTTGCATGATTTGCTTGGCTATTTCATGCCTGACATACATTTCGGTAGATGGGAAAGGTTAATGCATGTAAATAAATGAATACAGAAGCAGCTGTTTCCTTGTCTAACTAATAAAGTGTATGATCATGCAACCTTTTTTATGTATATGATTTTGCGTATTGTGATTACAAGTCCTAATCAGACTGATAACTATTCAAGCCTCTTCCTCTTATACCTCTTCCTGTTCCTCTTTAAGTCTGTCTATTCAACAACCACAAATGGTTCCCGCACAATTTCCTGTATTCATCCCTCCTAGTCAGAATGTTTGTTGTTTTATTTAATTGATGAGACAATAAATCCCTAGGAATTCTTCCAAACCCACTTTTTCTTCATATCTTCGAACCACAGTTAACATTAAAAATCTACTGATAATCCCGACACGTCGTAACTGATGAGTTAAACATATATATAAATATATATATAACCTATAATTACATACATAATTATATATAATGAAGAAACCAGTCATTTGCCTGAAGAGATAAGTTGCCCCACCGGCTCTTTTCTAGAGACCGCCTAAAGTAAGAGTTCATCTGAGCTGAAGGTACGAAGAAGGCAATCTTGCGAGCCAGCTTCAAAAATTGCAAATTTCTGACCTTATTTTCCCAGATTGTGCAATCCTCTCGAAGTCTGCTTCATCAAGCCACCTTAGCAATGACGATTCTTCATCTTCTTGCAAGAATGTTGTATGCCAAAGTATAATAGCTCTGTAGTTGTGAACATGTCATTAATTTTATTTATTGGTAGTCTCAAAACCAGCATAGTTGTTAAGTTAAGATTGGGGCTGCGGTTCAAGCAGGCTCGACACATGCTTTTTCCTCTTGCCCAACGAATGTTCGTTGTCTACATGATTCAGCTCCCCCTTGGCAAAATGTATGCCAGGCGTAAATAATGTTTGTAGCGTTGTCATAGTAATATTGATTGTTTTGCCTAGATTGGTCTGAAAGGGAGCTCGGGAAACTGCTATAAATTCAATCCCTAAATGAGTAGAAATAAATGAATAGTGGGACATACTTTCATAGCCAACGTATTGGTTGTGTGGTAACGAAATGTCAAAACAAGTTGAGGCTGCCACCAACCCGAAAACCGAACCGAGCTTATCCACGTCCGGAGGCTCAGCCTATGTTGCTTGCCTGTTGAAGAGCTAAATGTAGGTCCGACGAGTGCCCCGTAGTTTGGCACTGAGTTAACTTTGACTCAGACTCCATTCCAGTGGTGCGTCTGACCCACTGAATAGTGTACCTCTCGTCCCAACTAAATATCAGCAAAGCCACCAACGCGATTCTGGCAAGTTAAGGTGACTCTGCTCAGACTTCGTGTTTGCCCGGACTTACAAAGAGGTCAAATCCGAACCAGCACATCTCTGGCACAAAGCAGGTTGACAGGGTTGCGAGAGCCAGGACGAACTCGACATCAGCGTCCACTTCGAATGATAACAAATGAAAGGACTAGCTTTTTTCGTTTTGTAGGTTAGGTTTCGAGACTACCAGTAAATCTTATATATGAAATGTGTTCACCCTATTTCGTTGAAGGTGATGAAGGACTGGTAATTGGATTTTCCCACAATTATATGACGCTTCGAGTAAAGTTCCCATAGTCTTGAATACAAAAAGATATTTTCGTCCAGGCTGGACTGCAATTTCGACCTCACTCAGGTGAGCACATATCATTAATTTTATTTATTGGTAGTCACAAAACCCTACTTACAAAACGAAAACTAAGTATTCTAATCGATTGATATAGCCAATGCAACTTTGCTTCATCCACAATTCCAGCACAGAATGTGATATGGGAGAATGTCTGGCTTTCCTTGAAATTCACATCTGCTCCGTGACCCAAGGGCACTAGTGACCTGTTATGTTATAACAATACTTAAATGCGAAAAATAATCGCAATTTATTTCACACAGAACCTACTTGCCGGAGATATAAGTAGTATGCTATATTATAATGGCAAATTTATATTTTATTCCTCACTCACTCTGTAAAATGTGATTTAGGAGCGATATAACCCACCTGTTATGTTATAAGCACCCATTGAAGGTGCTAATGGGGCCTAGAAGGGGTCGAAACTGTGGTCCACCTCGGATTGAAGCGCCTGTGAGGAAAGTAGGGTCATGCGAACTTCAGTGTTAACGTAAGGCCTACTTTTAGCATCGAGGGAAAATTCAACTACCAGTCTTTCATCACCTTAAACGAAATAGGATGTACAGATCTCGTAGGGCAACCTGACAACGTAAATGGTGGGCCATAGTTAACCCTTCGCCTCATCGCGGCCTTGAGGGAACAACTAGAAGCGATCAAACCACCAAATGACTGGTGGATAAACACTAGGCTTAAGCCTATATAAATAAAAGCATTAAAACCTTAGATCAGTGTTAAGAAAGGCTAAAATTGCGCTTTTTTAACAACGAAATTCCAACTGGATTGCAGTCATGTCTGCGCTTTCGTTTCATGAGTGACAAAGCTAAACGGACCAAATGGCAGATGTGGCATTCAAGATTGGTTATATTGCTCTTAAATTACATTCTATAGTGATTGTAGAGGAATAAAATATGAATTTATCATTATAATATAGCATACTACTTATGTACCGGGACAAGTAGGTTTTGCGTGAAAT